TATATATATATATATATGATGTATATATATATCATCCTCGTTCAGGTTCTCCTAAACTCTCATGCAAGCTTCTTTTAGCAGAAGCAGTCTGCCAGCCAGTAGATGGTTAACATAATGGGGAGGTGTGTGTGTGAAAGAGGAAGTATTTCCTAAGCATTTCTTCTTCTGTTATTGTACCACAATGTTCTATGGAGCTCCAGAAAGAGAAAACTCCAAGTAAATAATACACACCTCCGCGGAAAAAAAGAATGGCTATTGACGACAAGGATTAAAAGATAACACTTGGCACGGGCACATTAAACGAAGCGGTAGAAACTGCCTTCAGTCACTTAGTGTACATGGTCACCGAGAGGGGGAAATGGATCCCTAGATTCCAGTTAAGCTACTGAGTGAAACACAAGTTGAAGTATTTTTTTTGGGAGGGGGGGGGGATTATTGTTTTTTTTGTTTTTGTTTTTTGCTGCAACCTGAGAGAAACCGTGCAAGAGGCGCATAAGGCAGGGGTGAAAGACAGGATCGAGTGAGCAGCGATTAAAATCGGGGGCGCGGAAATATTTGGAAAAAGAAGGCGCGTGCACGTGTGCACGAAAAGAATTCCTTTCCTATCTAATTTCGGGGGTTCGGTTGCAGGATTGCACGTCAGATCAGCTGCGGAAAACGTGCTCAGGATATTTTTTTTTTCTAAATCGTTTCCAAAATCCGGACGGCCGCTAGATGGCAGGAAAAAGACATTCCCCGCATGTTCTTCCCGCTGTGATCTAGTAACCGTCCGGAATTTTGCAGAGCTCATAGCCTGCTTTGGAAATCATGTGTTACCCACGCTTGTTTATTGCAATTTAGGCGAATTGCTTAACATCTTCAGCTACCCTCCAAAGCGCTCCGTGCACGGCTTAGCAGCGCCTCCCCATTTCACTTTCGGTACTACAAGCGACTCCTTCCCCCCCCTCCCCCCAAACCCCCAGCAACGACAAACAACAAGCAAACGCTCTCACTCTGAGTCGCTTCTCTAAAACGGGTTTCCAGCCTTATATACCCTTCTAAAAATAGCCTCTCGCTCCCAGGGCCAATCAGGACGGGTCGAATTTCGAATCGGACCAATGGGGTGAGGCGTCACGGAGAAGTTCGGTCACGCCAGGAGGAGCCGAGATGCGCCGCGCGCGGCCATTGGGCTAGTCTGACATCATTGGAACGCGGTGTAACGAGTTTGTTGTTATAGATTGGGCAGCATTCAGAGCCGGCGTAATGGGATCACGAGGTGGCGGAGGGCGGGGGGCAGAGGGAGAGGAGTAAAGGGGAGGAGCGAGGGTGGCTTTCAGCAGGAGGGAGGGGGGCAAAAGGAGGAGGGAATAGGAGGAGGGGGAGGTGGCGAGCCAAGGAGAGCTTTTGAAAGGGAACTTTTGCAGCGGGTTACATTTGCAGTCACCTCGGTGTTTGCAAATATTGAGTAGGCTTCTCAGCAACTATCTTCTGGAGCGCGAGCGAGCGAGCGAGCGAGCGAGCCCCAGGAGTGGGAAGGCAATCTCAACAGCAAGCATCGAGGAGACTGCAAAAAGCTACAGAAATAGCGAAAACAACAAAAGCCAAACCAGCAAAAAGAAGAAGAAGAAGGGGCCCCCCAAAAAACAAAAAAAAAACCTTTGATCTATTGCTGTGCAATTAAACTTTGCATGAAACTTTGCTTTTTTTAATATATATATATATTATTTAAAATATATATACGTTTATATATATATATATGCACATATATATAAATATATACATATATTTAAAAAAAACTTCGTCTGAAATTCTGAACAGGAATTTAATATATATATATACTTAGCCGTAAATTGCTGATTTTTTCCCACCCCTTTAAGGTACTTTCTGCTGGGTGATATTTTCCCTCCCCCTTTTTTGTGATATTTTTTTTTGCTTTGATTTCGGTGGTCTTTGGAGGAGGAGGAGAAGGAGGAGGAAGTGAGACTTTTTGTAAATAGCTGGTCGTATTTCTGTCACCATCACCTGCTGTGGCGACTTCAGCTGAGAGCCGGAGCCCGAGAACCTCCTTCGCGCTGCTCCGCTCTTCCGACCTGCGAAAAAAACCCAGCGATTTGACGCTGCCTTTGTGGAGGGCTTCTTGTTGCAACTTTCGTTCCTCGCTCCGCCTCCTCCCGCGAAAGGCATGGATGTACTTCCAATGTGTAGCATCTTTCAGGAACTCCAAATTGTTCACGACACTGGTTACTTCTCCGCCTTGCCATCTCTGGAGGAATACTGGCAACAGGTAAAGGAGGATGGGCTATAATGTTTGCAACCCTGTCGGGGATATTTTTTTTGTTGTCTTTTTAACGCTGGGGACCACAGGCATGCATTAAGCTTCAGAGCTGCTTTTTTTTTAAAAAATATTTTTTAAAAAAATTTGCCCGGATCAAGAATGTTTCAGGGACCTAAATTAAATGATCTAAATTCTGTTTATTTTAATCTGGGCACTTAGCAAGCGAAAGGCATGTGTTATTTAATGATTTTCCTTTTTATATATATAAAATATATATATTAAACAATGCATGCTAGTTCTCGTTTCTCTCTCCCCCCCTTTCTCGGTGGACGTGGCTGTCAGAACTTGTGAGCAGTGTGTGTGTGTGTGTGTTTGTGTTTGAAAGCTTGTTTGCTCGCGCTGTGCCCGGCTCTCACCGATACAGACTTCAAAAAACCCCTTAGAATGAAAAGCAGGCTGTTCTAAATAAAATCGTACCATGGGATCCAATCGGGTTGCCAAGTTTCTGCCTTTCTCATTTGCCTGTTCCGAGTCTTGGCAAAAAAATAATAATAATTTTAAAAAAAACTTCCCCCCCTCTATATTTCCAAACCCCCCTCTTTTTTTTTGAAGCGAAGCCAATTGCTATAAGGAGAACTTGTCATCCAAACAGTTCTGTGTTTAGAAATAGTTGCTCTCTGTGCTTCCCCTTCCCTCCCCCCCCAAATATATTCTCGCAAGAATGGGGGGTGGGGGTGACCCTCTCTTTCAGTACTGTACTATTTTTATGGCAGGATCATGTACGGCTTTTTTTAAAACAGCCCCCCCTCCCCGCAGAACGAGTTGTCAGTCATATGACAATGATTCTCCCCCCCCCTTTTTTTTTCACCTTATGAGTCCTAATAGAGGAAAAACTGTGGCATGTTGCCTTTAATGGACAAGTTATTATTATTTTTTAGTTTATGTCATTGGATTCCTAACACTGGCAAATATTTTTTTTTTTGCCTTGCTTGGGATTTTCCCTCGAATGTGGGACTGAGAAGACATGTTTACTTGTCTCCATTACTATAATGATTTCTCTCTCTCTCCTTTCCTCTCTCTCCCTCTTTCTTTCTCTCTCTCTCTCTCTCACACACACACACAATTTAATTCATCTGGGTTTTCCATTTGTAAGGCTCGAAACCCTGATTTTGATGCTTGAAATACAGAGCTCTACCAATCTTTTCAGGGGGGACTAGCGTTCTACGACACACGCTCTCTTCCTCCCCCTGCCTCCCCCCAATAATAGGTCTAACATGGTTTTCTGGAGGTGATTTTGCTATTTAGCTCTTTATAGCCTTCAGAATCATCTTAGCCCCCCCCCTCCTCTTCCTGCCAGCTGATTCTCAAAATTAGTTTGCCCACTAGGCGAATTTTAAATCTATTCCTGAATGTCAAACCTATTCTTTCCATACATTTTGTTCTGTGGTCAGTACCTTTGCAAGATATCCGAAGGTTTGCTACAATGTTTACAGAGGGACCTAAAAAGATTGGCCAGAGAGAGAATATTTTGCTTTCTCTTTTCCCCTGTGACCCCTTCCTGGTAATAAGCAGAGAGGTTAGCAAAATACAATCCATTCACCTTTCTATTAAAAGGAAGTTTCTCAGTTTAATGCAGCTTCTGTCCAGATAGGCATGTTTAATTGTCAGGAGAAGGAAGTCAGGGTACGCTGACCAATTTAAATTGATGCTGAAATGATGTGTGTGTTTGTGTGTGTGTGTGTGTGTTTGAGTGCAGCATTTTATTTCACTCACACAATTTTGGAGAAAGGGCTCTTTCTGAAAATCACACAACTCATGCTAGTCTGACCATTTTGCCTAGAATCTGATTATTAATACAATACAATTAGCATGGCCAGCCTTTCACTATGCTGTTCAGAGTCCTGTTGGTGTTTTTTAGTGAGGATTTTGTTTAAAAAAGGGGAAAAAAACTGTCCTGTTGCATGTAGATTTGAACCATGAGCATTCTTGGCAGAGAGTCATAAATTTTAAAAGGAAGTCTCTTTTGGCATTGAGTAAAAGAAATAAGGGAATGACTCATAACCAAGCCATTCTTGGCCAGCAGATAAAGTTCTCCTTCGTTGTTGGAATCAGCATTTGGACCTTAAAAGTTGGACTTTTTCATGTTTTTTTTTCCCCCTTCGTCTCTTTCATTCACTGCCCTGTTAGAAATCTGGGGATTTTGCTGATGATATTCCTACTGTCTCTGCAAAAAATACCTCACTTTACAACTGACTCATGCCTGCATACTTGGACATTCTTTAAGTGTCTCCTTTAGGCTGAGTTGTCATGCGCAGGAAATGTCTTAGCTTACAAGATGTAAAAATCAGGCACAACACATACTTAAATTTAGAGTGCGAACCATAATTTTTGCCCACTTGATGGAAGTTCAGTTGAGGTTTTTTTTTTTAATTCAAGTCAATGTTACTTAATAAAATAACCTAAATAAAATTTGGAGAAGGTAGCGTTGACTTTAAAGCGAATCCCACTGAAATCTTTCTATGGGATGCCTGCTTCCTTAACTCATAAGGGAAATGCCTAAAGAATGTAGCTTGGTTACTATTTTTGACTCTGCATTCTTGACAAGTTCATGAGAAATACACTGTTTTCTTGGAACATTAATCAGTTGGAGCTTGAGTAGCCTTTAACTTTGAAGCACCCTAGCAATCAGAAATAAACTCTCCATCTTTGAGTGCGTTGGGCTTCCTGCTAATTTTTTCAGAATGTTTGGGAGTGAATAATTTTTTAAAATACGTATTTT